AATTCAACTTCTTACCGATTTCACCAATTGTTGGCATATGATATTTTTCGAAATATCTCATGAATGATGACGACCATTGTTCTTTTGCTATTTCATAAGCTAAAAACAAAAGAATTTTATCCGTAAATATTCATATATATTTTCAATGCGCTAATACTCGATGAAAAAGGGAGCAGAACAAGATGACACATCCGGAGAGTAGGCATGCACCGATTCGATAATACCGACACTTTACAGTTTTAGTATAATACCAAAAATATTTTAGGCACTGTAGTTGACTGTGGGTGTGCACCAGTTACAGCTATTTTTCCACTTTTTTCCACTTTTTTCCACTTAACTGTAGCTGTTATGACCAAAAAAGACTGGTTAGCATACTAATAAATGGGTAAAGACTTAATTAGCGTTTATCTCAACAGGAAAGCATTTTTTAGTCGTCTTGAGAACAAAAAGCGCAAAGAGTTCAATTCCGTGTCTCTGCGTCGATCAATATCTCTGTAGAAACCGAGAAAATTAAGCTAAAAACATTGCATTTTAACCTCCGTTGTGTAACCAGTCAAGAAATAATTCCTTCAGATGGGTCGACACATCCGAATAGAACAACTTGACTCATCCTGCAAAAAATATTTTCTTGATCATTATATCATCCAGAAAAAGTTTTACAGGATCAGTCAATTTAGCCTTCGAAAATGAGTCAAGGAAATTTTCTAACTCAAGGAAAAGATTCTCATCGTTATCGAACAAGGTTTGATTTGACCTTGAGAATGGGCTTTGGGTGCCAAAAGTGTGCGTTTTGGATATCTTGCCTACAGTTTCTCTGCTGGGAAGCATTTTAGCGGAAATGTGAGTGTAGAAATAGCTAAATTTCTTAAGGTCAGTCTTTAAAATTGAAAATACTCAGACGCTGCACTGCGAAGAAAAGGCGCTCAAATTTTGACGCTACTATCTCTTTTCTTCTAAGCCAGAAGATACTGTTCAGACAATCTTCAACTCATAGAACATCGACACCTTCACATATGAAATCGAATTGAAGTGTCAAAAATCGAAAAAATAAAGATTTTCAGGCCGATTTTTCAGAGTCCCCGAAGGCAAAATCATTCAGAACTTAAAGTTTCGCTCGGAGGAAACATTTTTAAAGGACAACTGTGAGAACAAAAATTATCCAGTCTCAAATTCTAGACCGGCTCACGAATGAAAATTTTAAAATTGTTTATTGTTCCAACATGTGCGGCACAATGCGAATTATAAAAGAATCTGGATTTTAATTCTTTTTATAAGTTATAAAAACAGTAATTTTGATTTTTTTTTTGATATTTTTGATGATTAGATCCTCGGATGAAAAACCTATCGCGATGAGCCGATTCATCCTTTAGTACAAACCAACTGGTCTTGTTTCCCAGTTTTCGCTCGCGGTTCTAATCGCCCAAAATATTTCTGCTTGAAACGATTTGGCTCATCCTCAAGGAATTTTTTCGATGCGCTAAATCCGACGAAAAGAAGAAGCAGGACGAGTTTATTGTTGGAAACTGTAGGCTGCTGACGGTACAAAACGAAAGATCATATTTTGCTGGGATCTCGCGCAAATTTAGGTGTCCAAAATGGTGATGCGGATAAAAATAAATATGCAAAATTAAAAGGCGACAATCGTGAATTTTATCGGTTTCTTGAACATGGTGAATTAAAATTAAAACTGGTCGTTAATGAACCACCTAAATCAGCTAAACGTGATTCATCGGCAAATGAACAAGATGAAAAACATCCAAAAAATAATCAGAAAAAACCTGGTATGACAGAACATCAATATGTAACTCTTTATTCTCATCTCAGTGTTTTCTATTTAGGCACATATATTCGTTTGAAGCAGCAGCAAGTAGGTATGTTACAAACCCAAACCCAAACCCAAGCGACTTGGGAGTATTGGGTTTGGGTTTGGGTACCCAAGTCTAAGACTTGGGTTTGGGTCAGTTGCCAAAGTACATTAATATTCTTCTTCAATAAAACTTAGCAGTAGTACCTTACGCTCTTCTGCCATACTATTCATTTATCTTTTTCTCTTCATCGTCGG